GTGGCGCATGCTGTTTTTCACATACGCGGTTCTGGCGACCGAGTACAGGCGGTATAACCTGAAGTTGATATATAGTTGAGTGAAATTCTCTTACTACTAAACACCAATCCTATCTCCAGTTTAACAAATAAGGAGATTTGGCTCACCATGTTTGGGGTGGATCGCAAAGGCAGCAACCTTGCATCGCAAAAATTTTACTGCTACTCAACCCTAAGGAAGGTCAAGGTTCACACTAGATTGTAGTGCCAAATAAAATATAATAACGTCAAACCCACTCGGGAAAGAGAAGCACAGCTAATTGCTAAAATAAAAAAAAACCCAAAAAAGTCGTTATTATTGAACTTATCAATAGCAAAATATTAAAGGAGCGTCATTAAAATATGAACGATATTTTTGAATTTTAATTATTTATTTTTATTTATTTTTTATTTACTGTAATTAAAATAATGCATTGTTACCAAAACAATGTTATTACCGCTCGCTTTTTTCGGATCAGGAAAGAAGACATATATTTTTACTTTCAGAAAATATAATCAGGTTACTTCCATTTCAGCATTATGTAACCATTCTTTATATACTTTTTACATATGATTTACATAACGATGAATATTGAGTCACAGAAATATTTGCAAATGGCACAGCCATTTTATTGTTCTAAAAATCCGAGAGTAAATCTATAAATTGACTCTACTTATTACTCTTGCTGCCTTTCAAGAGCATTAAATTCTGGTACGAAATACTTCTCTGATTAATGTTTTTGGCATCTTTATATCCCCCTTGACTACTTTCTAATCTGATAAATAATTTTAAAATAAACCAAATATACTGAGCTGAACAAGGCTACTATATATTATATAGTATAATATTATATTATAGCAATGAAAATAATGCAATTGAAAATACTGTAGTTCCAACAAGTTATTGATTTACCTTGGAGCAGTAATCAGTTCGTTGCAGTGACTGATTTGTAGAAACCCTTCCACTTCTCGTAACAATCCGTTATTAAAAATTTTAATACCATGTTCTTTAGAAGAAACCCCTTTAGATATAGACCAAATCCCTTCCACCGAATTTATGTAATATAACAGATATTTTGTTCTTACTGATAAACAAGCTCTGCAAAAAAAAGAAAAATGCTGATGAATTTAGAAGATATCGTTGAAGATTACATTATTTTTGAACGAATCAATGAGAAATATCAATTCAGATATATATACTTTTAATTAATTAATTTAATTTAGTTTATATATATTTTTCGGTATCTGTTATATTTATATTTTAGAAGAATACTGTAAAACTAAAAAATTTAATTAAATCGAATAGACCATGCTATACAAATTAAAAGTTTAGTCTTGGCCTATTGAAAAATTTTATTAAATTTAAATCTCTCAGATACTTTAAGATTTAAAAACAATTTAAATTGAATTTTATATAAACTCAAATTCATAAATTATATTAAAAACCTGCATCATTAAATGCAATTCATTCTATCTAAAATATGTATTTAAATTTATTAAAACATTTAGTTTATGCATTTATAATTTTCATCTTCTAATTAAATCATTTTTTTATTAAAAATATAAATAAATATATATAAATTTATTCATAATATAAGTCTGAATGTTTGTTTGTTTGATATATATATATATATATATATGTATACATATGTAAGTATTTGTATATGTATGAAGTCTTGAGAATAAAACTTAAAAAAGTAATTCATATTAAAAGATATCATATTTATAGATTATGGAATTTTCCACTCTTTGAATTCAGACATTAACCCATGTTGAACAGAACTAAAAATTTTCATTGGGTACTTTATATAACTTTAATAGATTTATATATTATTTAAAATAAACTATTGTTAGCAATATTATAACAATAAGAAATATATAATATAATTAGGTATATATAAGAAATATATATATAACTTATATTAATTTAATTTAATTAATTTATAATAAATTTTTGTTATTAATATTATAATAATAAGATATATACATAAGTAGATAAGAAATATATAACTTAATATTTACATAAAGTTAGTTCATTACATAAAGTGTTTCTTTTTTATATATTATATGTAACACATCTTCTTCTTAATATACTTATACTTAATCTTCTTAATATATCTTCTTGTTCATGACTTTGAGTTACACAAAATCATTATAATATATTGTCATACTAGACTTTGTACATATACTAGATAATAAGAGATAAGTTTTAAAAATGAGATTGTCTTCTTGATATTTAGGTATAACAGAAATTATATTGCAATAAATGCCAGTATATTTTTTTAACGCTATTCTGAGCACTTTAATTATTAGCTAAACACTGTTTTCTAAGAAGTGGAGTATAATATATAATATATAAAATATAATTATATGCAATTATATATCTATAGTTATATATGTGTAAATAGAAGTAAGAATAAAATAATAAATTCTTTAATAAAAGGGTTTTACTCAAAAAGTGTCAAAAACAATTTGAGTATTTTTTTTAGATATTTTCTATAAATTATTTTATATTAATTATTACATTAAAAGGCAATATTTTCAATAAGTCTAAAGTGGGTATTTATAGTGAAATTGAATGAATATTCCAGAATGAATAAATTGCAATAAATGACGCAGTTACATATCATATGTTGTCTCATTTCAAAGTAATATAAATCGGAAATATGATTTCTTACTTTAAGAAATGGAAAAAATGGTATGAAGAAGGGGAGATCTTCATTTTTCCAATATCAATATTTAAATATCTGTGATAGAAAGACGAATGTGTTCGTATTTCTTCAGAGCTTTAAACTATTAGTGCTGCATCTACATTAAATATTGAATTTATAAATAGATATTCATGATGATAATAGTTTATAAAAGTTTATATATATAAATAGTTCATTGACCTTAGTTTTTTATGTATTTACACTATACTTCAAAATGTTCTCATAGAATAAATAGATTTTTCACCTTTGTATTCAAAATTTTGCAAATTTTGATCCACTGCAAAAGAATAATAACTGAAATAAAGAAAAATATATTTATTTATTTATTTTCAACAATTCTGCTGAAAAGTATAATGCTTTTTTGTTAAAGAAATACTTATAACATTTTTTTCAAATGTTATAATTATTAAATCAAAAGTTAAGGAAAGGCAAAGGAAATTTACAAAAGTGTATTATTTTTGAATTATATACGAAGGTTAACCAACAGGCCCAAATGGATCTCCTAGAAATCGCCGGTATAAGCTAACCTAGGTGGGTCAAAAGTAAATCTGTGGGTTTTGCGGTTATCTGATATCACCTCTTCATATTCTTGATTCCTATCGTATCTGCTTCAATCAAAGACAAAGATGTATTGGCTTCAATACCACATTTCATCACAACTTCGCCTATCTTGGAATCTATTTTCAAATTCTTGACAAAAATTATGGATCTGTATCTTATTTAGACTATTTCTTCTTCGATATCTGCAATATTTAATTTAGTCTTCAAGTTTTTTCATAGCGTGTACGTTATTTGCATTAGTTTGATTTTTCATTTTAATATAAATAATATCTTATTATTATTTTCATTATTATTATTTTGTTATTAAACTATAATTATATAATTTCAAGAGTCCAGTATTATTTAGTTCTTTAAATGTTTTATTTTTGTATATCTATGATATAAATAAATAAATATGAGAACATAGTTCTCCGATCAAAATATGTTTTATTTCTTGACATCATGCATTCAGCCTGTCATACATTATAAATATTTTGATCTCTTTATCTTTGGAACTAAATGTCTTTTAACTGACCTATTATTTTTGTGATTTTAGTTTTTTATATAAACGATATATCTACCTATTATTTAATCTATTTATATAGATTAGAATAGGTTACTGTATAAAGTCAGTTCAATTATTCATCTTCTTATTTGGCACTACAGTCCAGTGTGAACTTTACCCTCCCTCACGATCTGTCTCCATCTGTCCCGATCTTCTGCTACGCTGTCCCAGTTCAATGCTCCAATCTTTCTTGCATACACCTTCTCATCCCATCTCGTTCTTGCGCTGCCTCTGTGCCTGGTTGTCATCGGGTTTGCGTTGTATATGCTGCTTGGCTTTCTCTCCGGTCCCATTCTTATTACATGCGATGCCCATTTAATGTATCTCACTATATTTTCGTGTCTTAGTAGTTCTTCAATTTCATTATTTGTTCGTCTTTGAAAACTTTCTGCATCAATTTGGATTGGCCCGTAGATTTGGCGAACTAAAGTCAGTTAAATTACCCAACTCAATTAGATCCAAATTGTTCTATTATATGTATTTGATAGAAGAAAATGGCATATCATACAATAGAGAAAATGTGTATGTCTTCATTTTAATTTTAGTTCTATTATCGCATTTCAATAAAATTTTTGATAGATAATACTTCCATTTATCGGTTGAAAAACTTAATCCAAAATGGCAAAATTATGTACTAATTACTTATATTAGAAAAGAACTTTCGTTGTTAAAATAAATTTTTTTTGTAATAGATATTTTTAATTATTTTATTACTAAATTACAAAAAATTTAAAGAATAAAATGATGAAATGTTAAGTATTTTATAAATTAATGTACCCTTAGATAAATGTAAAAAAATATAATAATAATAATGACATTTCAAATATTTTGCTTTTAAATAATTACTTAAAATAAAAAACAAAAAATGTATAATTATAAATTAAACATATTGAGCTACAATGGATATTGATGATTTTGTCTTGAAATATGATGAAATGATATTTTATTTAATATATATTTAATTTAAATATATAAATAATAAATATAAAAATATTTCTGTTGAACAGCTTACAGGTTTTTTATATTAAAACTTTGATAATCTTATCCAATAATGATTTGACACAATTTTGACTAAAATTTTTGAATTATTATTAATGAAACCGAAATGCTTTTAAACGGCACTTATTAATTTCTTTTTGTGCATTTTTTATTTTTTTTAAATTTGGTTAATGATAAGTTTGAAAAAATTATTAGTTATTTTTATGTTATTTGTTTAAATTTTGGTTATTAATAAACATAAACTTGCATTAAATAAACATTATTTATTCTTATATTTGTTTCAGTTTTGATTAATGATGAACTTGAACTTGAATAAATTATTTGCTCTTATTTTATTTCCAAAATTTGGCTAGTAATTCTTGAAAGTAAAAGTGGAATTTTTAAATAAAATATTTTTCAGTATATATATATAATTCTTTTTTTTTTCTTCATTTCACTTCAATCTCTTGCGTATCATGAAATTCAATAATTCAAAAATTATTTTAAATTACTAATGCACTTTCACTTTTATGGATTGACAACAACACTTGATATTTCATCGCTTGGCTGTAGGCCGACCATTTTTTCACTTTCTTTCCATAACCACTCTGCCGTTTCTTTATTTTTAGCCCATGGTGGAAGAAAATGCGGTTTGCAATCTTCATAATATCCCCCTGTTTTATTTTCCAAATCAGGATCCAATGCCAAACATAATGTTGTCTGAGCTCCAGCTTTTGCATCTCTAAGCCTAAGTCTAACAAATGCACGTATCAAAGCCCATACACAAGTTGAGTTTTCGTTTGTATAACGTGTCAGTTCCGTACGCACTACACCAGGATGTAAGGCATTAACAGTCACTTTAGTATCTTTCAACATCTCAGCTAATTTTCTAGTAAACAATATATTTGCAAGCTTACTCTGACAGTAAGCGCCAAGAAATTTAGAATAACTTTTTTCACTGTTTATATCATTTTTGTATATACGCCCAAGTAAATGTGCTGCTGAGCTGACCACAATAATACGACTAGGTGCTGAAGCCTTGATGCGTTCCAATAATAAATTAGTCAAAAGAAAATGTCCCAAATGATTCACACCAAACTGTTGTTCAAAGCCATCAGCAGTGAGTTTTCGTGGTGTTGCCATTAAGCCGGCATTATTGATTAAAATATCTAAGCGTGGCTCTTCGGCTAAGAAATTCTCAGCAAATTGTCGTACTGAAGCCAGTGATGCTAAGTCCAAAGTGCGATTGTATACTTGCTGATTCTGTGTGCGTTGTATGATTTCTAGACGTGCAGCTTCACATCGTGCTGAATCACGGCAAGCCATATAAATTTTTGCGCCGCGTTGCGCTAGCTCTAAAGCGGTTTCTTTGCCAATGCCAGTGTTGCAACCAGTGATAATAACAACTTTTCCATCGATGCGATTCGCTTTACGATAATACGGATTTTGAAAACATTTACGCAGCAAATACATAATAAATATTATGGCACCAAGAATGAGTAAAATTAATATAATCCAAGCCCAAGGTCCTTGAAAACAAAGCGATTTCTCTGGATCTTCAGGTGGACTCACTGTGATATCCTCCGTCATAATCAAAGTTTGCAGAACTTAACTAAAAATAATGAATATATATTGGTGATATCTGTCTAAATAAAATTTAAAAATGCTAAACAAAATTGAACAATTGTTAGCTGCACAACGCTTACCTACAAACTTTCTTTTTTGAGCCGTTATAGCCAACTGGCGGCTTTAATTAACAACTTGGCTTGCTTCCCTGCTTTGCTGGCTTGAATCGACCTTTTTTTATTACTTTTTCTTCTTTGGAATGTGTTTTACGAGTATGTTGTTTCTCTTCCAGCAAAGTCACTTGATATTGTTGCGTCTTCCCAATCTACTGCACTCTTTCAAGAAACTTTCATTACTGATTTGCTCATTTGGTAATCTAAAAACCGTATGCATACAGGCTGAGGTTTCTGAAGCATTTCAGTGTGATTTAAAATGTTGAAGCTATAATTATTTTTATTTTCTTCAAGTAAAGAAAACTGGTTTATATACGTACATATTTCACATATCAGCACATGAAATTATTAAATGTTTATTTGTATTTTTTATTTTCATCATACCAAGCAGCAACAATTACGCGTTCACTACAGCCTTAGATACATTTTAAAGATTATTTGTTGAATTTGAATTGTAGAATTAACGATTAGCACTCATGAAGCACTCATGAAAAATATTTATATCTCATAGCTGAATGGAATGCTAAAATATTTAAACAAATTATGTAAGTTTAATATATTGATTGTACTCTATACCAAGTACAAATGGGAGTTATAGCATCTAAAGTTCATTGCTAGACCTCGAAATATGAGTATTTTTCATCAAACATATATTAAATTAAATTATTTTATATTAAAACAATTATGTTTAATTAAACTACATTTCAAATAAAATATAAGTTCTATAGAAACCAAAATAACACTAAGCAAGATAAGAGAATAATATGACTGCTAAGACCTATAACTTTTGACACAGAATCACAACACCAACACAAACATGCAAAGTCTAGATTACCAGATTGAAGTTTTTTTCATGAGAGAGAATTTCTCAGATGTGAATATATTGCGAATTAGTAAAGCAAACACCATAAGACCCATATATTTTGATATAAAACCATAAATTACTAACTATTAACAATAATTACTAACTATATGCAAAGCCAAAATAAGCATTAAATTATTTTTATGAGAGAGTATTTTTCAGATGTTAATATATTGCGATTCAGTGAACCAAAGACCATGTGAGACCTATAAATTTTAATATAGAATTACTCTATAAACAACAAAAAAGTAAAGCCTAAATAAGCAATGAACCATTTTCATAAGAGAGTGTTTTTCTGATGCTACTAAGTTATTACAATACGGTTCACTGAATTAAAGACCAGGGAGAACCTATAACTTTTGTGATATAGAATAAATTTGATATAGAATTACTCTATTAACATAAATATGTAAAGCCTAAATAAGTAGTAAACCCTTAACATTAGAGAGTAGTGAGTAGTATTCAAACTATTCAGTATTTAAAAAGCGGTTTCAATAAACCAAAGGCTATGTAGGAATTATAAAATTTGGTATGGAATTACTTAATTAACACAAATACGTAAAACCTTAATAAACAGTGGATCATGCTGATAAGAGAGTATTTCTCAAATGTTAAGATATTGCGATTCAGTGAACTGAAGACCTTATAAAAACTATAACTTTTAAAATAAACTAACTATATTAATAATTATGTATAAAGTCCAAAGTAGCTATGGCGTATTTTTATGAGAGATAATTGCTAATGTTGCGATTTAGAAAAATTATTTTTAATAAAATGTAAAAACATCTCATGAATTTAATATATTCAGTTAATTTATATAATTAAGAAACTTTATTATTACTTGTTTATATAGAGTGTGTACTAAACCCTCAGTAAAAATAATAACCTTTGAGACTGTCATTTTAGAGCAAAACAAAAAAATTAATTAAATTTCTAATGAAAGTGTTAAAAAATGTATATATGTTAAGTAGGTACTAATAACATAAACATTAGCGTAGGTAAGACTGTGCCAAAGGGGTATGCCCTAGAAGAGATTTTTTCGTCAATTATTTTTCAATTAATTGATTTAATTAAATTAAGAGGGGGATTATGCTAAAAATATTTTTTGACAAAATTTGTTATAATATATTATTTAAAAAAATAAATAACAAATAAAATTAATTAATAAAAAACAATTATAATAATGTTAATAACAGTATTAGTTATTATACCAGTAAATACATTCAAAATAATTTGAAATTAATTTGGTTTAATAAGATAAATTTTAATAAATAATTTATAATGAACGTTTGCAGTAACTTTATTTAGCCATATGTGTATCAATATGTATAGTTGGAAGATATAATACTTATTGGTGTTATTTTTAAAAAATTAATTTAATTAAACACTGTTCCATAAATTAAAATAATCTCGTCTATTATAATTTTTTCATTATTATTTTTAATATTGACGCTAACTCTATGGTATTACAACGGGCCATTATTTGACATCAAATGGGTTTTGGGCACAAGGCTGCCACTGCAATCTATCCAACCATAGCTCAACGAGGGATTTTTATACCTTTGCTCGTCTCCCCTAATTACCGCACTGGATAGAACTAATTATATTGTAATTGACTTATTAAGAAAAATATATAAGTAGAAATAATGAGGTGTTATTAGGTTATGCATATAGTGATTAAAAGTTGCCTCTTAGTGGTCGGAACCTAATTCTATAAATTATTAATTATTTCATTATGATAGTTTTATATTAACTGTTATTAGTTTCTTTACTTGCAATATTAAAATCTTTTTATTCGTAGTTAACTTTTAAAATTACTGTGCACATTTTTACATGACTTGCATATAATTAATTAAACATTAGAGTGCTTTTTTTTTAAATAATTTTTTTTAATAATAATAATTAAAAATTTTAATAATTAATAGTAAAGTGAACGACACAACAGAATAACAAGGTTAATAAAAATAAGTTTCACATATAAATGTACACATTAAAGATGTAAATGTATATATATATTAGATATAGCATATTAGAAATGCAATTTTTTTTACATGTGCATATAATTGTACGGTACATATGTACTCGAAAATTATCTAACCAATTTTGATGTATTTCTATAGAATATTATTGGCTTAGAGAAAAACTGTATAAGCTATATTTAAACCCAATAGTGGTCGCTGGTGTAAGGAAAGAAATCAACTTGTTCCTATTTTCTTTACAGTTTTTTTATTTACAATAAATATTATTTTAAATATACTAAAATTTATGAAAAATATGAAAGAACATAAAACTGATGAACAACGTGATGAACATTTAAGTTTAAGAGTATTTGGATAATGACAAACAGAGCAAATGAAACACCAATGCATCGTGATGAGCATTTTTAATCAGGCCATGTTTGAGCAGCAAATTTTTTAAATTAAATAGATGAAACTTAGCATATACTTCGCCATGTCATCTTATTTATGAGGCTGCGAAATAGGTTAGTTTGGTAGGATTTAGTTGCGGTAAATTTAACTCTTTTGTCCACAAATTAGCTCATGAATTTTCAGTTTTTTAAGACTACTTTATCTTAAATTTTTGAAGATCTATGTTTGCGATAATCGCTAAGCTCCAAAGTTCGTGGCTCAAGTAATGTCTTTATTATTTCACTTAATTATGTCTTTATAATCTCTAAATCTTTTAAAAACATGCATTAATATATAACAAATATATTTATACAATATACTCGCTTTAGCGTGTTAGAATTCATATCTCTCCCATTATCTTTAATCCGGTGATATAGTCAATTATTTTATATAATTCTGTTTACAGTCTAGAATAACTGTTTTAATTTTTTTTAATATTAAGTTCGCAGTAAATATTTTCATTAGACATTTATTTGAATTATTAAAGTATATATATGTATTCAACAAAAGTTTCTTAAATGTTCTGTCTCATAATTTGTTTGACATAAATTTCAATTCTACAACAAATTAATTGGTGAAATCTTCGTAAGATATTGATGTACATTAATATATGTTAGAAACTCATAGCGTAATTTTTAGGGGTTTTATGGGGAATCTACTTTAAAAAGCACATATATGTTATATATTATGCGGTTCCAGGAGCCACTGAGATTACAATCACAGTTATCAATAATTAAATGATAATCATTTCTCTCGTTGAAATAGAACCGTTCACAATGAAGGCTTCAATTACAATCAGATTTTTCAATAACGGAACTACTAAGATGAAAAAAATATATAGTAGTAGCAACCCAATCGAAACCGCAGGTAGTATATAATCACTGAGATCATAATCCGAATATATATGTTATATAAAAAAATAAGAAAAATTTTTTATTGATATATATATACTCCGAAAAATTACAGTTAATAAGAATCTACTTACTTTAATACAGTAGCCCGTTAAGTGTATGAGGTTATGGAATAAATCCAAAAAAGTTTTATATCACTTTTAATGTATATTTGTGTAAGTGTGTTTTATTTTTATCGCAGAATAACTTATGAAGTATATATATGATGTTCTTTTCAAAAATAATCCACTCGTCATATTACATATATATATGAATTGAAAAGCAATATGTTTCTACTTGTCTTGAATGATAACGATAATAGGTATATGACACAATTATTATTCAATCCATATTATACCAATAATCAATTATAATGTATACGAAATATCTCCTCATACTTGTTCAGTGAAGTTTAAAAAATTTTTGTAGCACTCTTCTATTAGTCAACATGATCAGTATTAAATTTTTGAGACCTACATTCTCTAATGTTGTGTGTATTCCAAATTATTTTATTTATTTGTATCTATATTGACACATGAAGCAGGTGAATGAATTCTTTGTTGGAATTTATTTGTTATGCGTTAAAGTGAAAGTTTTTTGTTTTTTTTTTAGTATCTCAACTTCGTAAACCGAACTCAATCTGAATCAATCTCTCTTATATTCGATAGATTGTGTGAATGCTCAGTATAAATGTTGATAATTATTAAGAGTAACAATAATTTAAGAGTGTGTTACTTTATTTTATTAGCACTTCAGTCTCTAAATGATTTATACACAATTAAGTTGTAGGATAAAATAATATGACATCTTTTTATATATATAAATAATATAAGAGCAAAATATATAAAAATTATGTATACTTAACACTGAAATATTAATTTTTAAAGTATAATTGTTTTGAAGTTTATTCTATAGAGGGTTTCTGTGCTTGAACGGAACTAAAAACACAGAGGCTATATTTAAATTTAAAAATTATTTATTTTGTTCTGCTTGCTTTCTTAATCAGAAAACTGAAAACTTCTTCTTGGAAAATAATTTTCTTTCTAAATTTTTACAAGTTTTGTGTTGTCAATATATTTAAATTATAATCCAGTTT